TTCAGATAATGTAATTGCTTTTTCTCGACAAAGCAACTGGCATGGTTTCTATAAACAGGAGTGTTGTGATTATTCATAATTTACTTTGCGACTTTGAATGTGGTTTGCATTACTACGGTTATATCTTCGTTTATATTTATAAATAACTTTTACAAAAAAATGTACCAACGGGTATTTATTACAAAGTTAATGTTTCTACTACGGAGGCCAACCAGACCTCTTCTCTTCCACCTCTGCTATCTGGTGTTTGTCAATGGCTAGGGTAGGGGCCACTCTCAGTCGAAGCTGTCCGTGATATTATTCGTTGCGAGATGGAGACATATATTAGGACCAAGAGTGTCTCTCTGGGGCATTCTGAGGCAGCTTTTGCAAATAACCCATGACTAGCTGAGGAGAATTTAGACTTGCTTTTTCCAGCTCCTTCTTTTACTAGGTCACCCTCAACAGAGGATCATTTTGATCAGCCACCTCCAGCCCCTTTTCTTCAGTTGGTTACTTGGGTTGGTGAGGTTTTGGGGGGTCTCTCCTATTGTATTTGACTCTACTCCTTCCTTGTTGGCAGAAAGGATAGCAAGTGATTATGTTATTTTTCTTCCATTTCCTAATATTGCTGTTCATGCTATTAGGTTTGCCCTTCAGTTACATGACAGGATAGGCATGCCTTGTCCCCCCCACGTTTATCGGAACAGCATGCTTTGGCTTATTACTGCCAGGAGGAGATATATTTGGATTATCAATGGATGGACCCCCTTTGGACCTGTGGGGAGTCTAGATTGAAACCTGTGATCACTTTAAACAGATCACAGTTTTCTCAGATTCATCTTACTCTCCATAAGACCATCTAGGCACCTACCAATTGGTATTACCTTATTATTATGGACTATCATGAGTAAAATTAAAGGGGTTCCTGCCCAACCCTGCCAATCTTCAGGTTGAATATATCGGGGTCAGATTGCTTTTAAAAATATAGGTAATTTGGTTCACCTCAGGACTCCCCAATGCATATTACCCCCCCCCCCCCCCGACTCTACTGGTGCAGCTCAGGAGTCCTTACCACCTCCACTTTCCAGTCACTGGGGTGGCGGACAGAGGCTTTTCCTCCAGAGTGTTTCATTGTATTCTTCCACTCTTGGAGAAGAGGGTGAAGTTGGGGACTCTACTACTCTGGTCCCTGGATGTTTTTCCCAGGTGTCAGTTGGAGTGGCACCAGCTTCCACGGGAGCATACTCGTAATTCCAGTTCAGATTTGACACGAAGCTGTCTGGTTGGAGGGTGCATGGCCCTTCTTTTTGATCAATGTCAGTTTTGTATATTGTTCATGGAAGGAGGTCCACTATCTCCTCATAATTCTGAATGCAAAGTTGTCCCATCCTAGGTCCTTGTTTGAGCTCAGGGGCAAGCAGAGAGTGAGGATGAATGTTCATAATTCCAGACTGGATGAGTTTTGCTCCTCTGGTTGAGTACGGCATACATGATCCCATTATTCCGAGCCTGCGGTCTTGCCTTTTGGACTTTTTCAGGTGGAGGAGAAAGTTTGTCGACTTTGATGTTGCTTACTTTCTCATCGTTTTCTCGGTGGTGCGAAATGCATCACCTGAGTTCCAGGTGAAAAGTATACCTGTTCTGGGTGTAGTGCGGTTCCCCCACTCTTGTACCATCTTTATCTTGGTACACTCCTGTTCTATTCAGACGTTTTCTGTATGGTTCATACCTGCACTGGTCCCTTCACCTTTTTAATGTGGGATTCTAGCTATAGTGTCAACATAGGTAAGTATGTTTTTAAGTTAACATTTTCCTAAACTGAAAATGTATTTCCAATAATACTTACCTCTACTGACACTCTCCTGCCCTGCCTCCCCACTAAAAGCCGGTTTATATCTCAAAAAGTGGTTACATTATCTGAATGAGATGCATATGTACAGTACCTAGATAGAGAGAGCATTGAAGTTAGTTGAGAATTTTGCAAATTAGAATTTGCCAAAGGCATATGAGTGGGATATAAAAGACTGGAGCAAGTGTTTTAAATGCTTAGATGGGTAAAGAGTGGAAACCCTGGAGGTTGAGAAATAGCTATAGTGTCAGTGGAGGTAAGTGTTATTGTAAATACATTTTCAGTTTAGGAAAATGTTAACTTACATCAGAGAATAAGTAAAATTAGAGGTGTATGAATAAGAAGTATGACATAAATATAATTAAACAAAGGGGATATAGTTATATAAAACAGATAAAGGAGAACAAAATGTTATCATCAACAAAAGTGATTATGAAAATGGGGACAGAAAATATGCATCACGAAGGTATTTATAAAGAAATTAAAACTAACTCGTATGAAAAATATCAGAGAATTGTCAAATGAAATTACAAATTAGCATAAGCCTTACACCTTACAAAAAATTATGTAACACAAACTAATTTTGTTGCACAAAGATTTCTTTAAAATATATAAAGTGATATTTTTCACCAATAGTTTCAAACATAGGAACTTCTTCTTGTAAAGTAGCCAAACTCATAGCTAATAATCCACATTTTGATAGTATATAAATTTTAAGTTCTTAATTTTAGAAGGCAACATTTCAAAAAATCCTGAATTTTTCCTAGTGTAAGAAATGAGACTTTTTTTTTCTCTAGATATCCCTTCTTCTCTAACTTATTCCCCACTCCTCCAGTAAGTACGCAATTTAACATAAATTGCTTACTATAATATTGTCATCACTCTGGAAAAAGCATAATTTACATAGCCTTCAATCTTGTTTGATTACAAATAGAAAATCAAACCCTTCTTGCCAAACCCTCTCCTTCAGGATTTGTTAATAATTCTCTCTTATGTTTAATACTATATTATTTATAACCAATAGAAAGCCAAGGTTTTCATCAATCAAATGATCTATTATATTACTTTGTTTTCTATACAGAGAATTGTCAGTTTCTCTTTTAGTACAAGCTTCGTTCCCATGGGAAACATATCGAATGTCTTGGATGAATTTGTATTGGTTCTTGTCACATAGTTAGAAAACCAAAAAAAGTTATGATAGTTATGGGACATTATCTGCTTTTTGCATGTTATTATTTTGTTCTTTGGTGCATTATTTATTTAAGTAAAAATTATTCAGTGCACTACTACCATTAGTATAAAGAACTAGGCTTAAGTGTCATCGACAGTCAACAGCAAAAAAAAAGAATGCTCAGGTAAGTACTTTATTTATTATTATAAAAGTAACTAGAATATAAAAATGGAAAACTCTTTAGGTTAGTTAACCCTATTGCCAAGGGTATCCTTTACTGCACATGTCATGAGGTTTTAGTGTCTTATATTTAAATGTTATTAAACTACTTTTTGTTTATGTTATACCATTTAGTATACCAATAAGTACAAAATTTAACATAAATTACTCACTATAAAATCCTCATTGCTCAGACAAACCAGAAAATTAACATGTGTATACTAAAAACCATTTTCAGTTATCTTGCCAGAATTTGTGTCATACTACATCCCAAACAGTAATTGCATTTTACATATATGGTCATAAATCTTTGAGATTATACACAAAGAATGAGGACTTAAACAATGAGTTACTAATCAAGTATGTAGCTGTGGATAAAAGAATTGAACCAAACATTATAGACAGAGTAGTTAAAAAGTTTAGGAAATCTTTAAGGAGAAATAGTAATATAATAGTACATTAAAGTCATTGTTAAAAGGGAATAAAAAGGAATTCTGTGTTATCATATATTAGGTTTTTAACATAAAATATTTCTGTTTTCTTAAACAACAGAAATGTTATATGATGTTCAAACCCATAAATAAAATTAGTCAAAAGTAAATAAGTTTAAAGTAATAACTGAAATTTATAAAATAGTATGCATTTGTGGCACTATTTGTGTTGGACAGACTACAACAACTTTGAAATACAGAGTAAAGAAACATAAAAGGTATATTAGAATTATAAAAATCCAATGCATACTTGTATTGGTTAGTACCATTATACTAGCACAACCCAGTATCTTAAAAAGTGAATCATTAGAAATGATAAATAACTTTAAAAAATGCAAAAAAAACTATTAAATAGAGATGAAAATCTAACCAGTTAAATTTTTAATAGGTGTTATGATATTTTATAGTAGTAGAATGGTGTAATATGAAGATTGGATGTAAATATGTATTATGTAATGTATCTTTAGGTTATAAATTATAGTACTCTGCTTATACAATCATACTCCTGAATAGGAAGGGATACCAATGAAATTTAGAGTTGTTTTAGTAAGGACCATGGATTGGTCTCAATAATTTTTTTTTTAATTATGTAAATAACATTGTCTGCAACTTAAAGGGGCATGAGCAGTTAATATAAGTACTTTTTTTAATTTGAAACTAAGATTTGCAGTAAAAAAATAGTTACCTGTTTCCTGCTGTTAATAATATGATAAAATAAAAGTGTCATTACAGTATTCCCATTCAAGGGCATCATTTACTGTTCTGCCATGTGTCCCGGATTCGGTGGGCATGATAAGATTTATGACCCAGTATTTTGTCATTTAGCACATCTGTAAGGTTTTGTGACCACTTAGAGTTATAACTAGATAATCTAAATTTTAGGATCTTTTGTGGCATTGTCTGTTTACGCATCAGTCTACTGATATTAGTATTTATGTTTGAAATTCATTTTCTATGCCTGTAGGAGTCAGTTAGATAATCCGAGGGAAACTTGAGATAATAGCTATTTAAAAGGAACATTGTTAGTATTTAGAAGTGTTAGGATACTAATGAAGGTGTGGTACTTTGTAGTAAAGCATGGTGCGGACAAGCAAACATGTGCTTTAAATCAGAAATTAAAGTATGCATATTACCTATCCTTGATTTACAGTTTTTAGTAATGGTTATTTTCAAGATATTAGAAAATCAAATTTTTGTATGTACTTATTTATAGCTTTAACAAGAAGTATTTGCAAGAATATAATGAAATCTTAGAATATTGGTTTGATTCTACATTTCATCCTAACAGTTTCACCCAATCCCAGCCTCCCAGAACTCTACATGGATCTCAGTCTCCAGACATCTCTCACTCTTTACAGTCATCTCATACATCTGTCAGCAGCACTCAGCTCCAAGGTAGCACTGCTGCTGAGAATAACAGTCTTTACTGGTCAACCAAATTCTAAACAAAATTTACTTAAAGTACCATCTTTATTGGTCAAGCTTCACCATAGTCTTGTATTTACTTGGTTTATCTTTTCACCATATTTTGTAATTGATTGAGTTTCAGATCATGTTTCATCTTATTTCTATTTTTCCTAGTCAACTAAATGTCATGAAAAATTGCCTTTATGGCTGATTAACTCCAGACAAGGTTTTGCATATTAACCAAGAATCTCTTTTAATTTATTCACAACTTTACTTTTCAGACATGTTTGAGTTTGTCTTCTCAGTTATAATATATCTTAACAGATCTGGTTTTACTATTATTTTCACATTTGTTAGTGAAAACTAGCTCTTTCCTAAATATATTTACTGTATGTGTATGTAATGTCTTGTTGACAGTTTTCCTTAATTATTTCAGTTGTGTTAACCTAATAGTTCAGGTTTTATTATTATTATGTTTGTTAGTGAAAACTTGTTCTGTTGTAAGTTTATATTTACTACATGTGTATGTAACGTCTTGTTGACAGTTTTCCTTAATTATTTCAGTTGTGTTAACCTAATAGATCAGGTTTTATTATTATTATGTTTGTTAGTGAAAACTTGTTCTGTTGTAAGTTTATATTTACTACATGTGTATGTAATGTCTTGCTGTTACTTCTTTATGGTGGTTTCAATGGAGATATTTGTGAAACAGGAAGGTTTCCTGAAGTAAAGAACTCTACAGGACAGTTTATTCACTATGCTAACATATCAAAATAGTTTACATTTTATATCTATTAAACAGAAATCTGTAGTGGCTAAATCTTTCATAGTCTTTTGTTGGAAATGCCACTGTGTAACTTTATAACTACAGATAACATTATTATTAATAATTGTAAAACTTTAAAGGCTTCAAAGTGTTTAAAGTGCCAAGTTTGTTGGAGTTTTCAAAAGCTGTGTTGTGTCGGTATTATAGATTTTCATTGGTGTTATATCATACTTTCCAATAAGTATTAAGTTGATTTATCAGTATGAGCATTCAGTTTTCTTCAACATATTCATCTTGGAGACAGTTTTATATATATATGTGTGTGTGTGTGTGTGTTTTGTGAACTTTTTAAATGAATCTCACTGATATACAGAATACTCACTGTATTATTTTCAACAATAAAATATTCATTCTGTTAGTTTGGCATGTATGGTTAAAAACATTTTATTATGCCTGAGGTTGTCATACATTATATCCATCTTGAGATGAGATTTTCATTCATTCATTGTCTCCACTTCCACTCCCTGAACCTTGTATCTAGGAATGAGTAAGTTTTGGTTTCAGTTTTCATCTTTACTACATTATATTTTGCAATTTGACATCATGGTTTAATACTCTTACTGCTGAAAAAAATTCACATAAGAGGAGTGCAAGATAAAAATAAAAGCAATTTATTTTATTTTATCTATATTAATATTTAAATAATTATTCATACACATATTCAGTACAAGATAACATGAATTATTTATATCAGTTTAAATGCTAAACCTTCATTGCTTACATTTAGCAATAAAATAGAATAATACTTTGAATAAGAAAGGTAGAACATTATCCAAAAACATATGACTGGAAGAAAATTAAAGCCCCTTTCATATAATTAAAGATATGGCCAACAGGTTAATGGTAAAAGAAAACATTAGAGAAAGTAGTACCTCACAACATTTAAAGAAAAACATTGTACAACACTCTATCATAAACCACTATCATGGTTCAAAATAGGTATTGCAAGGAATTGCACAAAACTCTAATAGAACTTTTGGGCAAAAAGCATTTTAACCCTCTTGCCACAGGCATTTTGTACTACACATGTCATGATGTTTTTGTGAGTCACATTCAAAATTTAATTACACTACTTTTTGTTCATGTTATACCAATTAATATAGCATAAAATCATAGCTGATAATCCATATTTTAATACTATATAAGTTTTAAGCTATTAATTTTATAAGGCAATATTTTAAAAAATCCTGAATTTCCCCTAGTGTGAGAGATGTGACATTTTTTCTCTAGGCATCCCATTTTCTCTAGTTTACTTACCACCCCTCCAAGAAGTCCAAAATTTAAACTAATTTACTCATTATAATGTTGTCATCACTCAGGCAAAGCATAATTTTTGTATCCTTCAATCTTGTGTGGTTATAGAGCCATAATATAGAAAATCAGACCTCTCTTGCCACACCCGTTATAGAGCCATAATATAGAAAATCAGACCTCTCTTGCCACACCCGTCTGTCATATCCTCTCTTTTGGGATTTGTCAATATTTCTCTCTTATGTTTAATACTATATTATTTATAACCAGTAGAAAGCTAAAACTTTTAATATATCAAATGACGTATTATATTATGTTGTTTTCTGTACAGAGAATTGTCTATTTCGCTGATATATCAAGCTTCATTCCACGGGAAACACATTGACAAGCTTGGATGAATTTGTATTGCATAGTTAGAAAGTCAGAAAAATTATGATAGTTGTGGAACATTGTCTGCTTCCTGCATGTTATTATTCTATGTTCTTTGGTGCATTATTTTATTCAATAGAAATTATTTTAGTGCACTACCACCATTAGTATAAAAAAAGTAGGCTTAGTTTCACCGAGAGTCAATAGCATAAAAATAGAAGGCCCAGGTAAGTACTTTATTTTTTGTTTTTATTTATTTATTTTTACTTATTTATTATTATAAAAGTAACTAAAATGTAAAAATAGGAAACTCTTTACAATAGTTCATTAGATTAGCTAAAATAAATAATAATAACAACATAGTAAAAAAATTCATGAGGCACACCTGAAAACAACTCATGGTAATGTAATTTGATAATGTAATGTGAGTCATACATTCCCAAAGTGATTTACAACTTATAATGGCACAAATAATAGTTAGACATGGTTCAAAAGGCAATAAAACAATAAAATGTATGTATAAATGGATGTATACTATTACAAGTTTAAAGCTACTTAGCATAAACAAATTTAGTTTCATGTTTCAATTTGGTCATTCTAGAAAGAGAAAAGCATAATTTAGATTTATTTCAATATTCTTGTTGATGGTTAGAGTTAGGGTTGAGAAAATAACAGATAAAATATAAAGTTTTACTGAAAAAAAACGTTTGAAATGTATTTAGGAGGTTTTAAAGATTATGCAAATGAATTTTGAGATGAATAAAAGTATTTTTAATCTTAACATAAAAATCATTTTGCACTCAGACTAGTAAAAAAAAAGACAATATATTCACAGACAAATCTTTAATAAAAGTACTTCACTGAAAAAGCTGTTTTTGTAATATTTATTGAAAGTCTGCCAAATTTTGTGAAGATACACATACTATATTAAAAGTTAGTAGTATCAAAACTATAATAAGTACATAGTCAATTCGACCGAGCTTGTGTTGAGGGAGTTAAACAATACAGATTCAGTTCAGACAACACTTTAAAATATTTACTATTGACTGCTAAGACTGTACTCATAATGTTTTATAAAAATGCACACAAAAAAGCATGTATGTTAGACTTACAAGAAAAAGAAAATTGCTCAAAATGGTCAGTTTGTAATTATTAATATTATTCTCTTGCCAGCCTACAACACAAAAGCTTGGTATATTGCACCCAGTCCTTATGTAGAATATTAAATAATGTACTACAAAGTTGGCAGAGGTATTTTCAGTTGGTTTGTTTCTTTCTATATTTTATACATAAGCTAAAAAACATCATAATTCCAGTGTAAATCATATTGTCATTACCCCTTGAAGTTAGCTTTCTTTAGAATATATGCCATTCCTTTAAAAAGCTTAGTTACATGGTAAAACAAGAATTACCAGTCAGTAATAGATGAACATTAGATGACTGTAACATGTACATACTCAATGTTTTATACACTATACAATCAGTGTCTTTAGGAAACCAACCCCTCTATTATGTATGAAGTAAACGAGTAAAAAAAATCACACATAATGTTAAATTTTATTACACACATTCATTGAATAATTACTTTAAGACACAAAGGTTTATTGAAAGTGATGTTTTAGGCATGCATCTTTTATATGAAAAGGCTGCTTTTCTACCAGTAAAATTTTATGTATACTTAGTAGGGGTTGTGTCTTAGTTTAGGCATATAAATGCTCACTATATTTTCAAAAAAATATCCAGCTGTAGCTTAACATTTACATCTCAAACTAATGCAATCAAATAGTCAATAGCTAGAATAAATAATCATGAACTGTATCACTAGCTACCAGCTATGTTTATTATCATTACAATGTATAAAGTTAGCTACCATATCAAGTTATCCTTTGTCCATAGTTGAGCATAAAAAAAAAAACCAGTAAACAAGACAAATGAAAATTTGGAAATTCAAAAACCTTCAAATAGGGATCACAAAAAAAAGGCTGGAGATACTGTGGACATTATTTACTCAAATTACAAATCCTTATTTTGACTCTACCAAATATAATTCTAGGTGACAATATGGAACCAAAATACAGGTTTGTAGTTTGAGTGAATAATGTGTACAGTATCTCCAGTCTTGTTTTCTTACATTTTTTCGATTCCTACTTGCAGGTTTTTAAATCCCAATTTTAATTATTAATCTTATTAAAAACTTAGAGTGATCCAACATAATATAATTTTTAACAAAATAAAACCATAAATAGCCTTATAAAATGGTTATGTAGGAAGATTAAAACAATAAAAAAGTATCTTCTCTTATAGCCATTTTATAAATTGATTTATTCAGTTTACTGTGAATTTTATGATTTTTATACATAAAACTAGTTGATATAAACATTGCTTTAAAATACTTACATCAGGGTTAATGGTAGGTTTTAAATGTGGGCAGATTTTATCTGTAAAAAAAAATTAACTTTAAAGTACATTTAGAAATAATGTCCTGATTATTAGTTTATGTTGTTTACTAGTTAAAGTATGTTGTAAATATTTCTCTACCAGATTGGAAATTTTGGGGAAATGTAGTTATGAAAATTTCTGATTTTGCAAATATTTTACAAGAATTATTCAAAACAACTTAACATTTTAGAAAAAGATAATTTTTATAGCATAAAATGCATAAACACACACCTCTGGTTTTTAATTTTTGTTTGTACTGAATGATTTATGAAATGATAATTACGAGAGTAACTTGGTAATAAGATGACAATTATACAGGAAACTTAAACAATGAGATGATAATCATCAGAGTTTCTTACTAATAAAGTATTAATCGTATGAGAAACTTAGTATAAAGATGGTAGCTATCACAGTAAATTACTTGGAGGATACAAGTTTATCAGGTGAATGTTTTGTAATCATAAGCCTAGCAACAGGAAGAAAATTTTGAGTTCTCTTTGTTAGTTGTTGACTTACCTTTAAGGTTGTTGTCATTTTTTAATATATTTTTCCATTTCATTGTGGGTGTTTCTCACTCCATTTAAAGAATAACCCCTTTTCTGTTATTTCTCCAAGTTTTTGTGGTTCCAGGCCAGGCATTTCTGTGTAGGTTCTTGGTACTTGACCACTTCATATTCTCCAGTTTTGTCTGGGCCAGCTAACCAGGAGATTACCACCATCGTGTTCTATCCTGTGTCTCGTCCACCTCCCATCATCACTTTGGGCCAGTGTCCTACCCATCTCTATTTGTTGCTCATGATGGTTTAGTCTCCTAAATACCATTGTGAAGGCAGGTCCATTTGTTGTTTTCTTTTGTCTTCAGAGTGATGATATGCTTGGTCCTCCCCATTTTCCACAGAGCCACCATCATTTTCTTCTTTTGCTTGGATATCACTGTTCATATCTTATCTCCATGTATCCTCACTGGCACCACACATTCATTGAATGGCTTTCTTTTTAGTCTTATTGGGATGGTTCTGCTTCTCATGATGTTATCCAGTCTCCCAAAAGCACACCAGCCAAGTTGAAGTCTCCTCTTGTCCTCGGCAATCATGTCCTTCTTGGCTGTGATGAGCTGGCCAAGGTATTTGTACTGGTTTGTGTCTTTAGTGACTGCTCCATCAACAGTCACATCTTGCTCAGTGACATACTCATTAAACATCATTTCTGTTTTGTTAAATATGTCTTGAAGATCTTGTGGATGCAAGAACAAATTGGAGAAATACAAAATATATTAGACTAGGAACAACACTGTAAATGTAGGAAAATCAGACAAGACCTAAAAGAAAAATGGAAGGTCAAATTTTAACTGAGATGAGTGGCTAGATACTAGTAAAATTTGGAACCATCTACTGAAATCAGAAAAAAACAGGATTAACAAACCACTAATCTAGCCAGTCACAATTAGAAAATTAAGAAGCTGTCCACCAAGTCATTGCTTTACAATAGCATAAAAACCCACAGTGAGAAAATGTTTTCCCATACTTAAAGAAGGACTCATCCTGGAGCCCAAAATGCTGTTACCAACAAACACAAGGCAGGAGTAGTTCACAAAAAACCTTTCTCAAATGTTGACCATATTGGCTAAAACTGCTTTCAGAGAAGAATCTTCTGTTGTACCAACGAACAAGACAATATAATCTGTAAACCTCAGGTTTGTTAGCCTCTATCCATCAGTATTGATGCTCTTATCTTACCAATTACTATTATGGAAGATAACATCCTCCACACAGCAAAAAATTTAACATCAGTGGAAATAATCAAATCAAATTCTTTGTCATTCAGATGTGAACACCTTGTAGTTGGTTGACAACTTGTAGATGGTCTGTTGGTATGAATTCAGCCTTTAACCCAGCTTTGACACATGGTTGATAAAAGTATAACTTAGATTCAATTCTATTGATTATCACTCTTGAGAATACCTTGTAAGTGGCTGATTGGAAGCTTATCCAAACCCAGTGTTTCTTAGCACTCTCTGCTCCTCCATCCAGCTGCTGCCTTGGCTTCATAGTTGCTGGAGACTGAGGACCATTGTGTTGTCGTATGCATGGATTAATATCAAAGATAGTGCCACACTTGGCCTGCAGATTGGTGAGTTGCAGTGGAGGAGTATTTTCCCATCCTGTTTGGAATTGACCTCCTCGGGTATGGGCTTTGTCCCATATTATTTTTATTAATGAGGGGAAGATTTAAAAGTTGAGTTTGTATGTGATCTTTACTTAAAGTTACTAATAAGATGGTAGATATTATATAGGTTGGTGTAAAATCTTTACATTACTTATATAATTTAGTTGCTCCTGTCATGAAACAGAATGAAATGATTTGTCTTTGTATAATTTTTACTTACCTGTAGCAGAAGAACTGTAAAAGAGTATGCAAGGTTTAAAATGTCTGTATACTCACAAAAATTATTTGGAGATTGACTTCTTAGGTGGATTTCTGTACTACTACCCACACAATCTCTTCCAAGTTTCCTGCGGGGTGGATTATCACAAAAACGGAATCTTTTAGCAATATTTTGATGACATTCCCAGGAAGACCACAGTCCCCATCCTCCATCAGCTGTTTGTATGTAAATAAAAACAGTATAGACGAATTAACTTATTCATAATATCTTAATTGATTATATCTAGTAACACAACATTGTGTTTACATACACCTTTAAAGTAACTCAGAACATCTATAAAATATTATATCAGTAAGAAAACACAGAATATATTTGCAGTGAAACAAAAGGTAATAAAGAAAATCTCCAGTTGTTTCACACAGTCATTTGCATGAGTAGCTTAACAGTATTTGTTTCTGAAAATTTTATGCCTCAGTTTGATACTTATCAACTTTAATTTTTTGTAAAAGAAATTGTATTAATCACACCGTTAGCTGTTGAGTGAATATTATTTATAAACAAGTTTAAAATCCATGTGAGATCAGCAGGTAGTATTATTTCAGAGGTAGCAATGAAGTGATCAGGTAAGAAACTTACTAAGATCATATACATACCACTCAAGAAATATGAATTTTAAAATAGGCAACTTTCCATGTGATATTTGTTGTTAACCCTTTTGAGATTGGTCATGGGCAAAAGGCCATGTCATCTCGTTTGTTGACTGGCATTCAAAACTTTATTGAACCACTAACTACTATTTCATGAATGTATGTCAGTAAGTTTGGTATCAAACTGTAGATTATAATTCAAATTTTAGTACTGTACAATACTCAATTTCTTAATTTAAAAGCAAATATTAAAA